ATATATATAAAAAGCTATTTCAACTTACCATTTCTGGAACGGTGCTTTAAACTCCAGACCCAGTAAATGACCTGATACTGACGTCATTGTTACCGTCACATTCTGGAGCGAGATGGAGACATAATGAGAAAATGTGAAACACAAAAAAAGACACACAGGTACATGTGTAATTATTTCACGGTGTCCACTGACCTGACCAAAGAGATGATATTCATACTCATAGATTTTATTAAACTTCGACATCCCCTCCCTCTGAAATGGAAAAGAAGACAATCAGTGTTGGAGCAATTTGATGTTTCAGTGTCATGAGTTACTTTGTCACTGGACTAGCCAGAAACAGACAATCCCATTTTGTTAATTCACCCATAAACTGCTTAACTTAGTAATAAAAAGTTGCTTTATCATAATACCAATCAATAATTACTGGAGCCCGACTGATATATCGATCAGCCGATTTTATCAGCCGATATTTGCCTCTCACAGATATATTGGTATTGGCGTATATGTTGTCTATTATGTCTAGATATGAAAAGTTTTCTTTTTTAACAAAACATAATCCAGAAAAAGGTGCTACGAGTAATTTATAATTATTAAATTCCCAATGAAGTTTACAGTTTTGGTGCAAGTTGTGAATAGCTGACTTTGGGTCTCCATTTCATGCTGTCTGTTGTAATGCAATCTATTGCACTGTCGCTATATAACTCAGGACTTAAGCACCTGTCCCTCAATCCCCCGTCTGTCCCTTACTTTCCCCTTGACACACTATGGTGTATCACGGCCCTCTCTGGCTCGTATTAGGAAGTTTTTCCAATAAAGGCTAATAGGCTAGTCTCCAGGGAGGGTGGGTGTTGGTCACAACCACGCACAGTATGGGTATAAAATACTTGACTGCAAGATTAACAGTGCATCAATCTTCATAAAAAGCTTACACCCTTTTGTGACGCTAAGCTACGAAGACTAATGCAGACAGGTTTAAAAAAAAAAAAAAGTAATGCAAATCTATTGATACATACATGAGTATTTAATACACCTACGTTTTGTCTTGTTTACGTGTTTTTGTTTGTGTTCTCCTACATATGAGCGCTTATCATTTCAAAACTGTTTCCTGTAAAATTAAATGAACATTGAAACTGCGGTATGATATGTGTGATTTCATCTTTAGCCTAATAAAAACACTTGGGGGGAAAAAAATCGGTTATGATGTCCAACTAACGGTCAACAACCCAACAATATTCAGTAAACCCTCATAGAAGACTGAGACAACCAGCAATTGTTCACATTTAAGAGGCGAGAACCAGTGAATTATTGCTTTAAAAATATCTAACCAGGTGATTAATTGAGAAATCGCTTGAGTTGGGTTGAGGGTGTTTGGGGAGCATGTGACTTTGAACACCAGTGGTTTCTATATAAGATTAATGTTATATTAGGCTGAAATCCTGGTGTCTAACTGGATGCCAAATAATGGATTCACTATAATAAATCATTAGTAAAAGTGATCCTGCAATCCAGTGTGAGGTCTGCCACAACCTGGAAAAATTCACTCAGTATGAGGAAACAAACTGATCCCTGAACAGTAACATCATCTGACTAAGGGCTGGAATTAATGATTACTTTTTATTGATCAATTTCTGTAACATTATAGTCTGACAATAGTGAGAAATGACCATTACAAGTTCCCAGAGCCCAGGCAGGTATGCTCATATTGCTTGTTTTGTCTGAGCAACAGCCTAAAGCCAAAAGATATTCAAGTTTTATGTAATTTATAAAAGTAGAAAGCAGAGTTGGAAATTCATTTTTGTCTACCTGTCACTGTGGCTGGTGGATTTCAAAATCTAGCAGCCATTTAATAGACTCAATCAGTTATCTTTGGGTGTGTTTTGGTAGGTGAATGAGGCACATCTAGCAGCCACTTGCATATTTTATCAGCATTTGACTGCTGGCTGGTGCTAATTTCCAACCCTGTTTAGCTGTGCTGCTTGAAAGAAGACTTAAATGATCGATTATTAAAATTAATGCCGAGTCATTGTGACTAACCCTCCTGGACCTGCCGCTGGACATGATCTCTGAGATGCCTTTAGCCGCATCGTTCTTCTCGGCCACACAGAGGACCCGTTTGATCTGAGCCCGGCCCCGGATCATGTCTGCCTGCTGCGGTGTGTCCGGACACCGCTCCCTCTGCGCAGCACAAAACCACCTCCGCTGGACCCCGAGCCGCTGTAGTCCCGATCGAAGCAAAGATCTCCCGAGGAGGTGCACTAGCATGCCTGGTTGCTCTCACACGAAGCAGCCGGTCCCCCAGGCAGCCTCACCGCTAACGTTAACGTACTGTCTCCCCACTGGGTTAGCATGTTAGCTAACGTAGCTAGCTGAAGCCATGTACAAAACTTTGACAAAGTGTTTAAAAAGTGGTCACCGCTTTACAATATGCGCTCCCGATGAATTAAAAAGAGAGAAGATGACAAAAATAATCCAAGTCCATCAAAAATTGCCGACTGAAAACTTTAAAAGAGGCTGCGTCGACCCCTGGGAGTCAGGCTGTTAGCTCTGTTTACAAATTACGCGCTCGCCTGTCAAATATTGCCGTAAACAAGGTCGTAAAACTGTCGTAAATCCAGGAACCAACAAAAACGTCTGAATAAAATAGGACTGTAATAATAATACAATAAGTGCATTCAGATTGACTTTCGTTTACATGCGCTGCGTATAAGTGTGAATATTATGTTTTTTATAATAACAATTGTTGAGTAAATGTCCTTGTGATATTATATCAACGTTAAACAGGAAATCCACCCTAAATCAGAATTTGTGTTCTACTATTTCAACATCTGACATTATATCCTCCGTATTTTTCCAGGGAATTTGGAGTTTTAGCAGCCTTGGGTGAGTTTAAATTCAACATTTTAAATCGTGCACATTTTGTTTATAATTTAATACATTACATTTTAGACTCAAAACGTTTTCTTTTCAGCCAAATAAATAGATATGGCTAAATGATTCAGTACTACTTACAAAAATTTAACACATGGACCTTAAAACAGTATTTGCAAATACCTCTCAAACGTCAGTTTCAAAGCATGTCTTCAATTATCTAAAAAAAAATATTGAACTAATAACAAGGATATAAGCAGGGTCGTGGCACCAAATTCTGGGTGCTATGCATAAGCAGTCTCTGTGGGCCTCCTGCCCTTCCAGGTATTTGCCAGGTATTTCTAATGCACCTTTATATTATTTATTTGCAGTCAGTTTACTTTTCCTTTCTTTCTTTTCTTTTTTGGAAACCAATTTTAACCTTTTCTGGAGAAAGACGACAGTCCACATTGGTGCTCCAGCAGCAAAAGCAGTCAATCACTGGACCACTATTTTTATTGTAAAAAGGTTAGTCTTCATACTAATTTATTCAGCCAGTTTTTCTTTAATCATGGAAATCATTATTTACAAATAAGAAACTGCAAACAAAACCAAACTTTTCATGTCAGGCTTTTTGAGGACCCCCAGGGCCCTGGTTAATCATCCCAAAGTAGGTATGCAACTAATTTAAAATAACTAGATAAATAAATATTAATAAAATAAAAACTAAAACTCAGCTGGTAATACTCAAGATCAACATGCAACCTAACCTTGTCTGCATCCTACAAGATCACAATCCAAAATGTATGTACCCACACTCTCCACACACCACCATGCACCAGTATGCATGTCGCTATATGTATATATTCGCTGCCCAATAATATAATTTAAACTTCGGCAGAGGAATCTTTTTTTGATAATCATATCAAGCAGCCTACTTAGTCATCATAAATTGCATGTTAAATTTCTGTTTTAGGTGGAATTTCTCCAGATGGGGAGGTGGATTGGTCACCTGACGAGACTACAACCAGCTGGGTAAACATGGCGTCTGTCTCTGGATGTGAAAATTACATGTAGCGCTCCTGTCTGTTAAAGGTGTCACTGTCGCACCAGCGTCCCGTTTTACAGCCCAGAACACGGTAACGTGATGAAGAGGAGGCGAGGAGAGATGAAGGGGAGAAGGAGAGGAGCGCTCCACTGATGCTGCTGAATGTTTTTTCTCCTTGCATAGCATGAATGGTCTGATGTCTGCCCGGACTCTGATTGGCGCAGGATAATTGCTTTTGTTAACAGAGGCAGTGATTTGTATTTCCGTGAAGGTGTTTGCTTTTATTTTATCTGACAAATATCAAGACTCTTGTTCTGTGGGCTCTCTTCAGCAGGGGCGAAGCTAGATTTTGGGCCCACCCTGCTCTTGGACCCCCTTTTAAAAATTATATAATCAGCGTGATTTTTGTGTGGGGCCCTCTCCCGCTCTTCTAACCTCACTAACAAATGTGCAGCAGAATGATCATACTGGCTACCCTCCACCGTTGTGCTCTGACTGCTGGTTTATGACTGGTAACTGTGCTGCGCTGTGTATTGTGTCTCTCATGCCTTGCTCAACAACACCACTATGATAGGCTCACCTGACGTGGTGGCATTCACTAAAGAGGATGAATATGGGCAGACAACTCCCGACCCCTGGGCTCTGCCTGAGGAGTTCTCTGTCCCTCTCCATCCGCTTGCTGACTCCAACCCCTGGGCTAAAACCTCTTACGCCAAGTTCACCAAAGACTTCATCCTCATCTCTGAGTTCTCTGAGCAGGTGGGCCCTCAGCCGCTCCTCACCATCCCCGACGACCCCAAAGTCTGTGGCACCTTTGATCTCAACTACTTCTCCCTGCGCATCATGTCAGTGGACTACCAAGCCTCCTTTGTGGGACACCCGCCTGGGAGTGGCTACCCAAGGCTCAGCTTTGTGGAGGACTCAAGGGTGGTGCTGGGTGACTCAAAGGAAGGGGCGTTCGCCTACGTCCATCACCTCACGCTTTACGACCTGGAGGCGAGGGGCTTTGTTCGACCATTCTGTATGGCCTACGTCTCAGCAGACGAAAGGAAGATCATGCTGCAGTTTCAGGAGCTGTCCCTGCGCTTCTCACAGGCCTCTGAGTGTCTGAAAGCCGGGAACAGGAGAGCGTTTGCCAAGGAACTCCAGAGGAAGCTCCAAGACCTGGAGTAAGTACTTCAATATAACCTTATAACCTTATAACTGCTAACAAACTGAAAAAAAATGGTAACAGCATGGTGGGATCACGTTGCCATCTGTTGCTAGCATAGCCAAAAACATGACTGGCTAATGAACCCCAACCCTGAGCTTCAGGAGTGGGACCACATCATTATTTTGTAAGTCATAAGTAAGTTTCAACTCTTAGCACTCAAATCCCGATTCATGACTGACAAGTCTCAAGTGAAGTCCAAGGTCAAGACTGACAAGTCTTAAGTCAAGTACCGAGTCTTAAACTTAGAGTTTTGAGTCTTAAATAAGTCAGTGTAGAGTCACAAGTTAACCTGCATGTCTTTGGACTGTGGGAGGAAGCCGGAATACCCTGAGAAAACCCACAGTGACACAGGGAGAACGTGTAAATGCAACAATGCTTACCACTGCACCATCTTGCTGCTTTTTAACAATAGAGTTAAAAAGTCGTGTATATATATATTTTCTATATTAAATTTACAGAAATCATCAGTGCTTTTTAAAATGTGTATTTATTTGCTGAAACAAGTTTTTTGGAAGTTGTCTCTGGCTGTAAGTTTTGACCCTTCCAATTTGCATACTGCAAGTCTTTTTTGATGACCTCCTAGTTTTCGTATGCAGAAGAAATTATATTTGGTCTCATATTTTCAACTGTCACTCAGTAACATTATGTTAGTCCTTAATGGTTTTCTCGTGCATATTGAGGGTCAACTTCGCTGGAGCTGAATAGTGTTAATGTTGGTGAATTCAGGATCTTTGAACTTGGGGGAAGGTATAAAGTATTTTCAAGTCAAAAGGCTCAAGTTCAAGTGAAGTCATGAGTCACTGGTGTTAAAGTTCAAGTCAAGTTGCAAGTCTTCTTTGATTTTATTGAGTCTAAAGTCATCAAATTTGTGACTCGAGTCCATACCTCTGTAAATCTTATAGTTCATAATATCATCTGCTGCAGGTTTTCAGTGTTTCTTGTGATTTCTCTTTACGCTGATGCTCCTCTTGAGGAAAAAGTACAATTTTCTCAAACTGTATTTCCTTGTATGAACACCTGAACCAGTAGCTCTGTCTTCTTCCACTCAGGTACACTCACTCTGTGCTGCAGAAGGAGGAGGGCCTGCAGAGAGAGGCGAGTCCTCAGTGCATGTACTCTGCTCATGCTGTCGAGAAAGCCAACGAGCTTGCGAACGTGGAGAAGAGCATCTACGAACACAGAGACCTGCTGAGACAGATCAGCTCCTACCATCACCGCCCGCGCCGCGATCCTCATGCTGTCACCTGTCAGAAGTGTGTCACTGAGTGCTTGAGCGAGTGCGAGCAGCTGTTAGAGAAATACGCCAAGCTTGCCAACCCCTTCAAATACACTGACAAAGAGGAGAAGGGGGAGGAAGGGCAGGGTCCAGTTGATGATGAAGGAGGTGAACAAGAAGTGGACGAGGATGAAGATGAAGTCAATAAACGCAGGCCCTCCTACACGCCACAGCTGATCAAAGCCAAGTCCGCGAAGTGTTTTGACAAGCGCCTGAAGACGCTGCAAGAGCTGTGTGACGATACGTTCTACGAGGCCACTGTTGAGCTCCTGAAGGAGACTGAGAGGAGTTTTCGGGGAGACCTGTGTTATCTGCACACACGCCGCCTGGAGAGGGCACTGTGCAGGAAACAGAGAGTTACCAACTTCCTGTTTGAGGAGGACCTCGGTGATGATGAGGAGGACGTAGGGGGAACACTGAGACCATTCTGTGCTGTGAACCATGCTGTAGATAATTTTACACTCTTAAATCCACCTCCTATTGTGCTGGGACCAGAACCTCTAGAGCTACATGTCCTGGAGCCTCCAGACCCTCTCAACCGTACTCAAGAGCGTGAGCTCGGGATTGCAGACAATCTGGAGTCCTCCCCCTCAGACCAGACTCTGGAGACCCAGGAGAGCTCTGAGGAGACCAAAGGAAGCTTCAGCAGCGATAAGAGCGGGGTGGGTCTTGCCGAGATCCAACAGAATCTATCAAGTATGAAGTCAGAAGCTCCTGATCCTGATTCTGACTTGACCCCTGACCCTGATCATAACACTGACCTGGAGAGGGAGAGCAGCAGTGAGGAGATGGAGACCACTGCTGGGGATGATGACGGAGACGAGACACCTGTGTCTTTGCTGGAGGTGGTGTCTGAGCTGGAGGCTAGCAGGGAGGACGAGTGTGATGGAGTTACTGACGGGGCTTGTGAGGAGGAGTCTGACTTGTTGGTTCCTTTAGATACAGCATGCTGTATGGCCCAAGAGGGTTTCCTTTATGAGGCTTCTGCCCCGGAGGCGGTGTCTCGTCTTGGCCAAAGCCCCCAGCCGCAGCCCTGTGAAACCCTGGTGGTCAACCAGGAGCCCCAGGCCCTCCTTCCACTACAGGATGACTACGCGGTGGGTTCTCCCTGCTCAGACAGCCCTGCAGCTGGGCTCGAGCTGCCTGTCGGGCCCCTTGGAGATGCGGTTTCCCGTACCTCAGTGGAGGATGGGTCAGACTGCACCATGAGTGCTTCTACAGGGTCTGATCGGGCTGCTTCTCCTCTTGGCTATGGGGGAGTGGTGACCCTGCGTCAGAGGAAGAAGGCTGGACAAGGAGCCTTGAGGTTTGTGCGACAGTACCCCTTTGCGATGCAAGCTCTGTGGTGTCTGCTGAGCGGCAGGACCCTGGTGGTGCTCGGGGCAGATGAGGGGAGAGTCCGCAGACTGGTTGCTGCTCTGGCCCTCTTCGTGCCTGGTCCTGGGAAGTGTGGTGAGAGGGTTCAAGCCTGGCTGTCCTGCTCCTTCACCCTTACTGACCTGCAGAGGTGGAAACTCATTGGATTGCAAAGGTATTTCCAATTTGCATTTATATTTAAAGCATTTAAAGTTGGGTAGGCAGTTAAATTTCGGCTTCATTGCGCAATTATCCCATTGTAAACTTTGAGTATATTGTGATAAAAGTGGAGTGAGAACAATAGACTTCAGCACCTCCTATTAGCTCTGTTTCTGGCCGTGACGAGAGAGACTCTGGCTAATCACAGGTCATTTTTAGAGGGAGGGCATTTCTGTTGGCTTTTCCACGAATGCAGATGAATGTGCACATCCCTTTGGTGAAAGCCTGATTCAGTGTCAGAGAATCCTGCAGAGGAGGTTGCTATTCCAGCACTGGCAACAACCAGAAGAAGAGCGGGCAGCAGCTTCGCCGACAGACCCTTAGTCAGCTGCCACAGCAACCCAAATCCAGCCAGCGGAAACCCCAGCTCGCGGTTAACAGACAGCCCAGACTCTCTGCCAGATCAACTAATAGGTTGGACCTGATGCTGCCTCTGGCCAACAAGCCTGCTGTGACAACCGCCGCTGGGGTGTGTGCGTTGGTTGAATTTGAGCCGCTAAAGCCGCCGACCAATCTGTCTCCTGAGCTGCTGCCAGCTCACCTCCTGGAGAAACAGTCAGCAGGGGCGAGGAGCAAGGCGGAGGGCCGACTTATGTTAGCTTGATAATTCTTGTCCCATTTGTGGTCTGATAAACAGAGAGACAGAGACAGCGAGGCAAGGAGAGGCTGAGTAAATGCACTGTGTGTAACCATACAAGGAAATAAGATTAAATAAATTATGTATGGGAAACACTGGGTTACTGTATGAAGCGCGTGCATATGCCTGTGATCATCTGGTGGGAGGGACTTAGGACAGAGAGAGGAGAACTGCAGGAAGAGGGTAGATTTTCATCTGGATTTCTGCCTATTCCAGCTTTAACTGACACTCTGATACAAATGATGGTGACGCATGATGTTACGTTTACTAAAACACTGTTCTTTGTGCTTGAGAAACTGAGATTCTCCATCAATGTAAAGTTTGAACATTATGGTTTATTCTTCTTTATAGTTTGTATCACAAATTACAATCCTGTTACTCATCTGGTCTGACTCAGTAATGAATGACTCACACAACCAACTATTCACCTATTAAACCTACAGCCTCCGTTTTTCCTTGAACTTATTTGACTCACCTTTGTTACGCCAGAATGGGCCTCAAAGTATTCATCATTTTACATTGAGAGAGGAGGCCATAGCTTCATTGACTAATTTCTTTGTTGAGACAGTTGGAGGCGCTGAGAGAGTCAGGAGCGGAGGGTGTGACGTGGACTTTACGTCTGATCTGGGTGTATTTATCATACTGTAGGTGATTACCACTTTTACTGAATCGTGACACCACTGTTACACATATTAAACTGGATTTTCTTCATCTTTACACCCCTGCCTTATTAACGTAAAGCATTTGTGGGGACACATATTTAGGTTACAAAGGTAACCCCGGTTCTTTGATAACAAGAGTGAGGTATCTCACTATGGGGTACGCCCCTATGCATATTCTTCAGAGGCTCAATACCATTACGGCAGCCCTATAGACTGGCAGTCGTGATGACTGCATCAAGAGGAGGAACATACTCATAAAAGGGAGTGATGCAGCATCACCAGCTCATTCAACAACCTCTTCTCGCTTTTCACTCAGAAAGCTAAATCTCTTGACACGAATGCTAATGGGACTATTTGCTTAACAGTCCACAGACTGAGCTAACCACTCGATTGCCAGGGGCTAATCTTTCCTGATGTGGACTTTACATCTGATCAAGGCACCTCTGGGTGTATTTATAATACTGATTTAGTAGATGGACGTAGGCGTATAAAACATTTACTGAATCGTGACACTGCTGTTACACACATTAAACTGGATTTTCATCATCTTAACACCGCTGTTTATTAATGTAAAGCATTTGTGCAGACATATCTGTGTATGTATTCGCAAATTAGTTGTCGTACAATAACTACAAAAAGGTCAAAGCCAGCATTTTTATTTAAATTGCTGTACAGACTTCTAGACACAAAAGTGGGGATGCATGATGTTGGATTTTGTTAATATTTTCTAACTCATTTTGGCTGAATGCCAAAATGATTTCTTACTTTTTTGGATGTTTTCCGCACTTAAATGTTTCAGATCATCAAACAAATTTAAATATTAGTCAAAGATAACACAAGTAAACACAAAATACAGTTTTTAAATGAAGGGTTTTATTAATGAGGAAGAAAAAAATCCAAAGCTACATGGCCCTGTGTGAAAAAGTGTTTGCCCCCTAAACCTAATAACTGGTTGGGCCACCCTTAGCAGCAACTACTGCAATCAAGAGTTAAAGATAACTTACAATGAGTCTTTTACAACGCTGTGGAGGAATTCTGACCCACTCATCTTTGCAGAATTGTTGTAATTCAGCCACATTGGAGGGTTTTCGAGCATGAACCGCCTTTTTAAGGTCATGCCACAGAATCTCAATAGGATTCAGGTCAGGACTTTGACTAGGCCACTCCAAAGTCTTCCATTTTGTTTTTCTTCAGCCATTCAGAGGTGGACTTGCTGGTGTGTTTTGGATCATTGTCCTGCTGTAGAACCCAAGTTCGCTTCAGCTTGAGGTCACGAACAGATGGCCGGACATTCTCCTTCAGGATTTTTTGGTAGACAGCAGAATTCATGCTTCCATTTATCACAGCAAGTCTTCCAGGTCCTGAAGCAGCAAAACAGCCCCAGACCATCACACTGCCACCACCATATTTTACTGTTGGTATGATGTTCTTTTTCTGAAATGCGGTGTTACTTTTACGCCAGATGTAATGGAACACAGACCTTCCAAAAAGTTCAACTTTTGTCTCGTCAGTCCACAGAATATTTTCCCAAAAGTCTTAGGGATCATCAAGATGTTTTCTGGCAAAAATGAGACGAGCCTTAATGTTCTTTTTGCTTAGCAGTGGTTTTCGTCTTGGAACTCTGCCATGCAGGCCATTTTTGCCCAGTCTCTTTCTTATGGTGGAGTCATGAACACTGACCTTAACTGAGGCAAGTGATGCCTGCAGTTCTTTAGATGTTGTTGTGGGGTCTTTTGTCACCTCTTGGATGAGTTGTCGCTGCGCTTTTGGGGTAATTTTGGTCAGCCGGCCACTCCTGGGAAAGTTCACCACTGTTCCATGTTTTCGCCATTTGTGGATAATGGCTCTCACTGTGGTTCGCTGGAGTCCCAAAGCTTTAGAAATGGCTTTATAACCTTTTCCAGACTGATAGATTTCAATTACTTTTTTTCTCATTTGTTCCTGAATTTCTTTGGATCTCGGCATGATATCTGTAGCTTTTGAGGATCTTTTGGTCTACTTCACTTTGTCAGGTAGGTCCTATTTAAGTGATTTCTAGATTGGGAACAGGTGTGCAGTAATCAGGCCTGGGTGTGGCTACAGAAATTGAACTCAGGTGTGATCAACCACAGTTATGTTTTAACAGGAGCTGGGGGGCAAACACTTTTTCACACAGGGCCATGTAGCTTTGGATTTTTTTCTTCCTCATTAATAAAACCCTTCATTTAAAAACTGCATTTTGTGTTTACTTGTGTTATCTTTGACTAATGTTTAAATTTGTTTGATGATCTGAAACATTTAAGTGTGCAAAAAAGTAAGAAATCAGGAAGGGGGCAAACACTTTTTCACACCACTGTATATACTGATCAGCCAAAACATTAAAACCACTGGCTGGTTAAGTAAATATCATTGATCATTTTGTCACAATGCAATGTTCCACTGGGAAACCTTTGGTCCTGGCTTTCATGTGGATGCCACTTGATGTGCTCCAACCATCCAAACGCTCTTGCAGGTCAAGTACACCCCCTCATGGCAGTGACACTCCCTCATGGCAGTGGTCCCCCCAGCTGGACAGTGCATCTTGTGACACCATAAAAACTACCCAGGAAAGGCCCAAGGAATGTGGCAAATAGCTCAAGGCATCAACCTGGCCTCCAGATTTCCCATATCCCAATCTGTTCGAACATCCATGGGACGTACCAGCACCCCAGAGATACCCCTTATACACAGTGGGGCCTCCCAGGATCAGATTTGGCTCTGACCTGTTGAGGCATGAACACAGGGCCTCTGGGGGTGTCCTGTGGTGTCTGGCACCAGGGTGCTGGCAGCTGATCTTCCGAATCCTGTGGGTACCGGCACGTCCCATGGAGGCCAGGTCAATGCCTTGAGCCCTTTGTTACAGTTGTCAGGCCATACCTGAGCAGTTTTTGCGGCGTGGCTTGGTGGACTGGCCTGCTGGGGGGGCCACTGCCATTTGGGAGAGTCGTTGCCATGAGGGGGCGCTCTTGGGTGCAAGAGCGGAACATGAGTGGAACATATCAAGTGGCATCCACATGAATACCAGGACCAAAGGATTCTCAGTAGAGCAATATCTGATGGGGAACTGAAGCTGTTATTTATGCTCTCTTCAAAGCCACCATGCTCTTTGACAAAACCTGTGATTTTACCTCACTGAACACAGGAGACACTAGTCTCTTGCTGCCTCGATCAGTTATTTTGTTTGTGTTATTATGTGACTTTTTTAAAAGGTTAGTTTGGATTATTAAATTCACACGATAACACAAAAAAACTAACCAATCAAAGCAGCATTAAAACTGTTACTCGTGTGTTCTGCAAGGTAAAATTACTGTATTTTTCAATGGAGTCTGGTGGCTTTGAAGAGAGCACAGATAAAGGCTTTAGTTTCCTGTTGCAAAAGGCTGTTCTTTGTCTGTTTGGGTGGGTGGAATGTGTCAAGTGGCATCCACATGAAAGCCAGGACCAAAGGTTTCCCAGTAGAGGGTTGTATTGTAACAAAATGATCAAAGTTATACACTTCACCTGCCAGTGCTTTTAATGTTTTGGCTGATTTGGCTTTTTTTTTTTTTTTTGTCCCCGTTAAAGGGGTTTTTTTGGGGAGTTTTTCCTTATCCGCTGTGAGGGTCCAAAGGACAGAGGGATGTCATATGCGATAAAGCCCTGTGAGGCAAATTGTGATTTGTGATATTGGGCTTTATAAATAAAATTGATTGATTGATTGATAAGTGTGTACTGCATATGGGTGCTTTTGAATGTGTAAACCTAGTAGCGCTGAGTGTGATAATCCTCGTTAAAAATATATATTAATTTTATCACAAACATGAAGAATAACTTCCTGTACATATTAACAATTATACTGTATTTGTGTGTGCTGTATAAGCTTGCATTTGCAAAGTAATGAACACCAGTGTATGTCTGTGTGTCCCCCACAGAGTAGCCTCCCCTGTGGGCTCCAGTATGCTTTACTCGCTGTCCCGCTACAGTCGCTACATCTCTATCCTGGATGCTGACCAGAAGACCTTGCGCTGTCCGCCGTATCGCGGCCAACTCCTCGCCAACATAGCCGACCACCGCACTTACATCCGCCGTGGCTCCACCTACTTCCTTCACTTACAGAGCACCCTCTGTCACATGGCAGCCAGGGCCTTCCTGTTTACCTTCACCCACCACCTCCACCTGCCGGTCAGCCCCACGGAGGGGCCCGAGGTCGTGGAGGGCCGACGCCGCTGCTTCCTGCAGGAGCAGCTGGGGCTGGGAGAGGAGGACAGCCAAATACTGCTCTACCTCAGCCAGCTCATCACTCAGCAGTACCTACAGCCCGACACAGGGAGCAGTGCAGCAGCACCTTGTTTTAGTTTTAATTACACCACCAGCGTTTTATAAAAAATCTGATACTGGGGCGAGGATTCCCACACACGTTTTAGCAGAAATCATCTTTGACCCTTTGGTTTTTAAAGGTGATCTTATAAAGGTCTACGGCTATTTTAGTTTCAGGACAAACTCTGCACTGGTTATTGTTTTATCCGTGTAATCTCTCTCTGCCTTGCTGTCTATTTCTCTGGTCTCTCCCTTTCCTCTGTGCGCAGGAAACAGGAGACAGAGTGAGTTGTGAATGTCAGTGAGTGGGTTCACTTTGCCTGTGTTTGGTTCACACGTTGACCCTCACAAACACACATAACAGAGCAGATGAAGGTCAGCTCTGCGCATTTTCCTTTTAGTCATTTGTGTGTTTTTCACCTCCACTGAAAAAAATGTTACCTACAAAGGCTTGTTGAAAGGGATAGTTCAGATTTTTTAAAGTAGGGTTGTAAGAGGTACTTATCCATAGTCATGTTATCACCGACAGTAGATGGCAGTCAGCAGAACGTATTTTAGCCACCTAAAAGAAATATGTATCACTTTAAATGTACATTATATTTAGAATATTTTCTCTATTTGCTCTATTCAAAGCCACCAAACTCCATTGAAAAATACAGTAACTTTAGGTTGCAGAACACAGGAGTAACTGCTTTACTGCTGCTTCAATCAGTTACTTTGTTTGTGTTATTTTGCGACTTTGGATAATCCGAACTAACCCTTTAAAACAACAAAGTCACACAATAACACAAACAAAGTAACTGATCGAGGCAGCAGTAGACCAGCAACTCCTGTGCTCTGAAATAAAATCACTGGTTTTGTCAAAGGGGTCTGGTGGCTTTGAAGAGAGCAGAAATAATGGCCTCAGTTCCTTGTCAGAAATTGCTGTTTAACAGCAATGTTTATTATATCAAAACCCTGCCCACAGCTGTACATACACCAATCAGCCACAACATTAAAATCACAAACAGGTTCACTTTTTACAGTACAACGTTCTGCTAGGAAACCTTTGGCCCTGACATCCATGTAGATGTCACCTGACACGCTCCACCCTCTCAAACACCACTGCAGACCAAGTATGCCCATTCACGGCAACAGCAGGCCCCCCAGCAGGACAGTGTACGTCACACTGCCAAAACTGTTCAGCATTTGGGCTGAGGAATGTAACAAAGAGCTCAAGACGTCAACCTGGCCTCCAAATTAGCCAGATACCGATCTGATCAAGCATCCGTGGGACGTGCTGGTACCCCACCTTGCAACCCATAGGACTCAAAGGATACACTGCAAGCGCCTTGGTGCCAGATACCACAGAACAACCCCTAGAGGTCCTGTATCCATGCCAATCAGTTTGGGATCTGGGGAGCTTGGAGGCCAGGTTGACGCCTTGAGCTCTTTGTCACATTCCTTGGGCCATTCCTGAGCAGTTTTTGCAGTGTGCTGTGGTGCATTGTCCAGCTGTGGGGGCCATTGCCATAAAGGGGTGTACTTGGTCTGTGGTGGCGTTTGAGTGGATGGTGTGTATCAAATAGCATCCACATGAATGCTAGGACCAAAGGTTTCCCAGTAGAACATTGCATTGTAACAAGATGATCAATGTTATTCACTTCATCTGTCAGTGGTCAGTGCTCCAGCACTTCAAACTAGGGTCACGCCAGTTGCCATCTACTGTAGGTAATACAGTACTACCTCACACAACCCCACTTAAAAAAAATCCAAATTATTTCTTTTAAGGTCAGTCTCCCCATCCCTCCTAACACACACACACACACACACACACATACATTGTGTAACAAAACTCAATCCAACATGGCTGTCTGAGTGTCATAATTGCTGGTCTGACCTCAGCTAAGTCCACCAACACCCACCAATCAGTGAGCAGTTTCTCAGCTATGACATCATCTCAGCTATATGTAAACATGTTTTTCAGGATTACTGTAACAAACATCACATATGCTGACATTTTCTGCCTGAGGAGAACACACGTCTCTGAAACTGTCCATAAAACCTCAGTAGGCGGCTTGTTGCAGCTGGTTTTGTGACACGCCTCTTTCTTTAAAAACTACTACATACCTTCCAAAGGCCAAAACCTTTCTGAAGCCTATCCTTTAAATATTTCTTTCTTGAATCAATTTTAACTCACATTCCTGCATTAATGTCGATTTTGTTCCAAGTAGAGACACAATGTTGGATTTTAGCTGAGTAAATTTGACTTTTTGAGAGCATGGAGTAAACATTCCCAGCTTCCAGGCTGTGATGCATGAGGAAGTGTATTTGCTATGTGAATTAGATCCAGTCGGCCCACACGTGAGATATTTGCATGTGCAGAAATAACGTCATCACAACACATACTCACCCATGCTGGGCAGCTGCAGCCAAAATCTGTCGCTATTAGCTAAGTGCTGGCCAGCATTTTCATGGATATTACTCACATGGTCAGGAACATTTTAACGCTACTTAACCTAAATGTATTGAATTTCACTGTTGTCTTAAAGTTGTGTGAGAGTGTTGTGGTGTCAGCATGAGACTGTCTTGTGCCAGGGTGATTCACCATATTGATAATATTTCTGTTTCGTTGTATTTGGATGAACTGACTTGGGAGACGATGCTGAACAGTTTAAGAAGATGTTGCTGAGACGGTGATGTTGTGTTTGTAAAGATTTTATTATGGGAGCAAAATTATTTCCGTGCCATCACAAGCAAAGCTCTAACACTTGAATTAGGACAGTTGCCTATTATTTATTTTCTTCTCAACAACCCTTGTTGGATGTGTGAACAAAACTCAACTGTTCTGTATTTATTGCTTTGGGACACAATTTGGATCATGACCATCATGCTGAGATTTTCTTTTCGGAGGATGCTGAAGAATTTCACAAGTATAAGGAGTTTTTTTTTTTTTTATCATAGCGGCCAGTGCAACAATACTGAAGAGGCGTCTTTGATAGTATTTTAGATTTTACTGTTCCTAATTCTGTGGTGTCAGTGATGGAGCTGTAATTCTGTATCTAGAATGGTACGTGTACTTGTGACTACATGGTCAGCGTTTTAATGTGAAAGGTCAAACAATGTGGGATCATGGCTGCTGTCCTTGCTGCTACGAACAAGACTCATATTGATTTTAAAGGAAAACTTCTACCCCAAATGAACATTTGTATATCAGTTACTCACCCTGTGTTAAGCTGAATTTGTAACGAAATCTTTGTTTTTCTTGCATGTGGTCACGATGAACAAAGAATCCAAAAACTGAGAAAATTCTTGACGAATTGAAGTCATAGGGGTCCACGTTCTTGACAGCAAAACTATTTCAAAACATCTGTTTACATACTCTCACACAGCTCATGCAGTATAATCTTAATCCAGTCTAAGCAGCAACCTCAGGGGCTGGAAAATGAAGCAAACGCAGAAGTGCCAGAAACTGCAGTTCCTCTAATGGCCACTTGAGGCTAGCTCTTAAAGCAAGTCAGTCCCCTCAGACCCTCATGTTAAAAAGCCCAACTTTACAGCAGAAATAAACATGTTGATAGCATGGTACAAAAAAAAAAAAAAGTTTGGTCGCTATAGCTAATTTCCCCCTTCATGACAACTGCAAGGAGGGGGCCCAGAGTCACTCATAATTAAGGGCATGGCTGCTTTGAGTGACAGGTGGGTCCATCCGTTGACATGTTACTACCACGGCAACGTTGGTTAGGTAGCATGGAGTAACCCAAATTAACAAATTTGTTATTTCAGTGTGTTTCAGATAGCTAGCTAACTACTCACTTGGTTAGCATGGTTCATTTATAGCCATAGTTAACTGTGATAGTGCTAATGCTAAAGCTAATTTTCACTAGCAAGATATGTGCTTAACACCACACAAAACAAAATACTTACTGGAAAAACTGAACATTCGACTTCCTGGAGGGTCTTTCAGTACAACCAAATCCAAAACAAGACTTTTTAGTTAATTGTAATGTTTTGGTTGCCTAAAAAGCCAAACCTAAATGTAATGTAGCACAACCAAATGCTAAACATTTGGTTGGACTAAAAGACCCTCTGAGAAGTCGGATGTTCAGTTTTTCCCGTAAGTACATTTTGTTTTAATGGTGTTAAGCATTTATTTCGCCAGTGAAAATTAGCATTAGCACTATCACAGTGAACTATGGCTATTAATGCACCGTGCTAACCAAGCTAGCAGTTAGTTAGCTATCTGAAAACACTTAATAGCCTTAATAATATTCAAAATGGGTGAGTTTAAAAATTCACAATTGTCATGAATGGAAATGTTACAGTTAACTGAAAAGTCTTGTTTTGCATTTGGTTGTATGACAAGATGTTCAGTTTTTCCCTCAAGTTCATTTTAATGACGTTAAGCATATATTTCGCTAGTGAAAATTAGCATTAGCACTATCAAAGCAAATTATAGCTGTGAATGCACCATGCTAACCAAGCTACCAGTTAGCGAGCTATCTCCCCCCTCTCATCCAAATATAGTCACTTATTTCTCCAAAAATCCAAGATGGAGACAGACAAAATGGCAACCTCGAGGCTTTAAAACTGGAGTCCACAAACCAATTGGTGACATCATGGCAGCTACGTCTATTATTTTATACAGCCTATGATCCAGGCGTATGCTCAGTACTTCTTAAACCTCTATGACTTAAATTCACCAATAATTTTCTCTGTTTTTGGATTCTTCGTTTACTGTGGAGGCATGCGAGGAATAGTCAACATAACAGGTGGTACATAACTGATATACAAATTATCATTTGGGGGATAAAGTTTTCCTTCAAGGTACATGCTTTTAACTAACAGCAATCTCACATTTTTAATTCCACCTAATGTATTACTTCAGTTGAATGCTTACTGTTTCTTTATTTTTTTTGGCCACGTGGTGTTTTCTTTAATGTTACTGCTAAGAAGTTACACTCACTCCTCTTTTTAGGTTTCGTCCCTCTAATGCAAAAAGGTGAATGTAATCCGAATAAGCCATACCACAGTGTGCTTAACATGTCGTCACTCAGTGTCCTTATGTTGCCATATCATGTCCACCTTTTGTATCTCATCAAGAGGGGATGTCGTGCTCACTTCGGCCCCGTGAGACGGCGTTGCTGCCAGTGATTTTAATAAAGCACGTTGTGAATGTCTTGAGGCTTTTATGTAAATGTTGATGATATTCGTTTTCTCCATTAAATTATTTGAATCCATTTTCATTTTTGCCTGGATGCCTGGGTGACACAGTGAGTTTGGTGATCACGGTGAATCTCACTGTAAGATACTGGAAGAACAAACCAATGCATCCTACAGATCATCATTAAACGTTGAACACTCCAACAGGCTCGTGTCTGTGTGACTTGCTTTAGCGATGACGGATGTGCGAGTGTTTGAGGTGTCATGAATTATAAATGCTCATCTGTGAAAACAACTAATTGCCCTGCTGGAGCAGTGGAAGGCAAGGTGGTGCTCTCAAGAAGCAAGGAGCAGTAAATGAATGATATAAGAAGAATAATACTGCTCGCTCTTTACAGTAAGATTGTTCTGCAGGGGCAGAGTGAGTGGGCGGCTGTGTGTGGATCTCATTACTTTATGGGAGGAGATTCTTTTGCAGCTTCATTATCTAACAGGGCTGCACAGCAGGAGAGCTCACACACAGCTGGCCTCGGCTGTGTGTATTTACAGTTGCACAGTGACATTAACATTTAGTCAGGGGTAAAGATCATTGCAATGTCTGCTTCAAATGAGACAACAAACTACCACAAATGCTATATCTGCAAATCCCCACTGGGAGGACTCATCCTATACTATTACTACCTTTATACTTATTTTTGTCCTTAGCCATTTTGGCTGTTGGTTGTAGCTACATTGATGATGATAAATCATAAATGTACTGAATAAGACTCTGCTTTGTGATGTGAGCCATATTGTCTCTATATGATAAGACAAAACACATGGACATGGTCACCGAGAGCGACTGTTTCTTAATGTGGAAACAGACTGTTCAACCTTTCCTCCCCCTATCATTTCCAAGTGGTACAATTGTTGGCATTGCTGTCACAAAGACAACCAATTGCTTCCTGTTTTCCTCAGAGCCTTGCAATGGGCCTCTTTTTCTTTTGCCAAGTAGAGTTTCCACAGTTACTTTGGTTGTTCTACCATCTGTCATTTCTGCTACTGGGGTATAGTAACTGCAAATAACTTACACTGATACTCTTTGGTAACTGGTGATAGCTACTGATAGCTACCAGTTCCTGTCTTGGTTTGTTGACATGCTTCCTTTTTGCGGTAAATTGAGCCTTCATTTTCCTGGAGAATCGTATTTGGTGGCAGACAGAATTGCACAGTGAAAGCGAGGCTAAAGACTGAGGACTGATTTCAATTGGGAACACATGGACATGTCTTTTCAATATCCTGTTTGTGTTCCCCAGCTTTTATTAACAGTTTTTAAGCACAAAAATCGTGTTTAATAAGCGACTGATTGGCCAGCCATCAGATTCTGGCTGAGAATGTGAATTGAGCTGCTGATTTTGCTCTGACATGCTCCAGGAAATGTCACAGAGAAGTATTGTATTTAGCATATGTAGCAGAATTTAGTATGATGACCAACTTCAATATTTCCTTGAGTTTGTTTTGGTTACTGTTGTCTCTAAGTGCATGAAGAAATGTAGGAAATGGGATTTTTCTTTTCTAAGAGGACTACAGACAGCCCATTTTATCGTGTCCCCCTCACTTCTCAAACAAAAGTTACACCCTTGCTTATAAGGAACCAATCTAACAGTCATTGTGCAATCACCATTTACTTCATAACTACAAGTTGAAACAAAAAAAACTTGTCTATTTCCTCTTTAGACTTCAATGGTAAACTATTTCTAGGAAAAGGGGACATGAACATTTACTTTTGAGAACACTGACCTTGTTTTATCCTGAAATTCAATGGGATTTGTACTTATTTATTTGTAGTGAGTTGACTATTGATGCTTCCACAAAATATTTACACAATTAGATTTTTGATAAATAAACATCAGTAAGATGGGTAAGTTGGTCAAGGCAAATAATAGAACAGCTATAACTTAACTGTAATGTAGCATTAAAAAGATATCTTGTCTTATATCGATATTGATATAATATCCATACAATGCTCAGTCCTGTTAGAAGACACTGTCCAACCTCCCAGTGATTTATGCTACTTCAAGAAATGTAGATAACAGTTAAACTCTACAGTCAATAATGGGCTTTCCCCCCATTCATAAGAAGAAGTATGTTTAGAGATGAAGAACAATGGTACTTGAGTCTAAATTGGATCTTACACCTCATGGTCTGCATCATAAAATACAAATGTAAGACAGGAGGTAAATCAGAATCGTTTTATTTAAAATTACACTACAAGAACAATGAAGAAAAAGTTTTAAGGTTTAAAATAATGACATTTCAAAACAAAACAAAACTTCCCTCCCAGCCCTTTGTAAATGAAACACATCAGAACTTAACATGACCTTCACAGTGGGTATGACTTAGCTGGAATGACAGGCCTGATGCAGAAACAGCTGACCTCAAGTCGAGGGCTTTAGTTAGGTACAAAAAAAATTCAGAAAAAAATTTAAGTAGTACAATATGGCCCCTCTAGGTGTCTTCACCTTTGCTCCGCTGTGTTCACAAGTAGAAGAGTCAAATGCTAACCCCTTAAGGGCACAACTGAAGATGATGGTGAAGTTATCAGTTTCTGATGCAGGCGACTGAAATAAAGGCGATGTTGCTTCGGGGCTTTGAGAATGCACAGATGGAGGCTGGGTGAGCCCTGATGCCCAATGGAAAATAAAATGGATGTCCAAAAACTGCACTTAGCCAGAACATCCTCTGCATCCACAGTGGGTGCATTCAATGATCCTTCCCTGCAGAGAAGAAAAAACAGCAGGATTTAGACCACAAGGAAACTCGGGGAATGAACAAGACATTTTATGCGATATAACGTCACTGTTTAGGAAAGTAACTGGATAACTGTCATTCTTTTCTTTAGGAAGAATCAAATTTCAGTGCTGACACAGTGACTGGCGAGCCATCTGACCCCACTCATCCAATCAAAGCATCCGAGATACTCTCTGGTGTGGTGTTGCAGTGTTGTTGTTAGTTTATCTCACTCAGGGGGCAACTGAAGCCTTTAACGTATTTTATACAAGCTCTCACTGGGCTTATTTTTTCAAAATAATTAAAATGGACAACCTTCGTGAGAATCACTAGCTACTTACAACTTCCAGCTTGCTCTTGGGGACTCTGCAGATGCAGTTGGTTCCAAAGTTGGTGTCTCGTGTTTGGATGCAACGCAGACAGCACAGGTTCTCGTAGCCCTGCTTCTTCCACTTGGCAATCAGGTTCTTGTCTGCATAGCCTTCCTTTATACAGTACTCATACAGCTCTGTCAGGAAACACACAGGAATACAACACTGATTTGGCATCTAGTGCACAGAGAAACATACTTGCAAGGGGGGCAAAGGCACTGGACACTTAACTAAAGTGAGTCTCTGGAAATGTTGAATTACTGAGCAATTGTTACTTGAGGAAGTGTGACAGGTATTTGCAGAAAATCTTGGTCATTAGAAACATATTATGTACACATAAAAAGTTATTCAAACACAACCTTTATACAGGTAACAACTATGTCATGCTGAAGGTGTAAATCAAATGCTTAAGTAGTCAGGAAAGGAAAAATGAAGAGGAAATGTGAAACATTAGACATGAAGTAGTCCAACCGGTGTGAGTGAAACTGTGTACCTCTGCTGATAGCTTTCCTTTTGTAGAAGAGGTCATAGATGTATCGACTCCGCTGATGATGCAGCCTGAAAATTGGCCAAAGGGACTCCACCTTTCGTTTCCCCTCGTGAGGCTCTGTTTCAGCTGGGACACAGAGGAAAAACAGGAAAGTTAGCTTTGGGATGTGGAAATTAAAATCAATGGTGCACCTGCTTGTGTGCCAAGGACAGTGATGTTGCATCTGATGCAAAGCATTAATCTGCTGCACCCCCATGAAAATACTTTCCCAAAGGTATTGGATAGGGGTGATGTCAGCGCTCTGTGCAGATTAGTCAAGTTATTCCACACTAAAGTGGGAAAACCATTTCTGAAGAGACCCATCTTTGTATTTAGGGACACTTTTCCTGGACTTACCCAAGCTGGTGCCACGAAATCGGAAGCTGACTTCTGTCTTAAAAGGGGAACTTTACCCATTGTCAAAATTCATACATTTATTCCTATTCAAAATTTCGATGGTGCTCCCACCACCAGAAGTGGTAGAGCCCAAATTAATGGACTGAGGACACTATATGATCACATTGTTTTGGACATTTGACATTAGATTGAATTACAGACAACAAAAATCACATTAAATTACAGAAATATTCAACACTTGCATCTGGCTTAACTACAGCTACTTCATCAGTAACGTTACCTAGCCTTTTGACTGATTAATACATAGTTCCTACGCTCCAGTTAAACAACTAGTGTATACATTTCCAAAATGTCAGCTGAATATTGTTTAACCAGCACCACCAAAGCATTATTCAGTTGTAAACAGTGGTGTTTTTAGGCCTTGGCATCTGATGCTCCAGCCCTGGACCTATTAATCTAAAGGCTATAAGAATAGGCCTTATTAAATAATTTAAAAAAAGCCCTGGATCTAATAAAGTATCACTCCATTCATGTATTCAATCTATCAAAAACAATATGTTATTGTTTTAAAAGTTTTGGGTTCTCTGTTTAATTCAAACAGCGCATTTTTGTGTGATTGTGTAGGCGCAAGAGAGTGCACACCAGTAATCACTTAAATGTTGGAGCTGTTAAAGGTGGATTTCTTCATTTAAGATTATTTTTGGGGCTTTTTTGCCTTAAATGACAGAACAGACTGAAGTGTGAAAGGGGGAGAAAGCTAGGAGTACACGCAGAAATGGGCCATGGGCTGGTATTAAACCCGTGGCTGCTGCGACAAGGTATGTGGGGTGCCCACTCTACCCACTGAGGTACTGGGCACCCCAGAGCTCATTTAGCTCAACTTAAGCAGACTAATAAATGTAGTGGAGTAAAAAGTATAATGTTTCCCTCTAAGATGTAGAGGGGAAGAAGTATAAATTAGCATAAAAAAGAAATACTCAAGTACAAGTACCTCAAAATTTTCCACATTAAATTATTATTCTCTAAATACTAATATTATACTACTAATATTTTTGAACATCACATCTCTTAATTAATCGAGGAAGTAACAAAAAGCTTTGAGGGTTAAATAAGATGCCAGAGAGCATTAAAAAACACCATCAAAATAGAGCTTGTTCATCCAAAACATTTCCTGGGTAGGATCCCCCCGTGCCCCCTGCAGAGGCCAGGGCTAAGCCCCCGGTTCCCCAAAACCTAGAAACGCCCTTGGTTGTAAACTAAATAAAAATAGGGATCGCTCGACATTTAAATAAATGTAAAATGAAGGTCGATATTTATTCTCCACCACACACTGCGCATTGTGGGGCCGAGTGTTTTGAGCAGCAGCGGTATAATCATCTTCTACCGGCTTACCTTCTCTCATTTTCTGATCCAGCTCGTCCAAAGTGGGCTCAATAAGCTCCCAGCCGTCTGGAGGCGGCTTCCGACTCCTCTTTACTTTGGGCATTTTGCTCTGTTTTGTACAAATATAGAACAAAAGCTCTCGATGTGTTGATATTGCGATCTCGTCTCAGGCGCTACTATTTGACGTCACGCGAGGGGTCCATTTCCCGTTTTACCCTCCCGAATGACGTCACGACGCCGAAAATACATATCCCGTTTTTCGGCGTTTATTAACTTCATAAATGTTATATCTCACTAACACACCATTAGTGTTTATATTAACATTTATTTAGGTCTGTAAAAAGACGTTTGCTGACTTTAAATCAACGCAGATATCTTTCTATCGTTCCTGGCGTATTGCATCACTTTAGCACACCAGCAAACTGCTTGAATATAAATAACTGAATTTAGTGTTGTATTTCATAACTCACGTCATTTTATTTCGTAACTGCACATTGAATAGAAATGTGTAACTTATTAAGTGTATAGCAGAAATTTTGGTAATGAAATACTTGAAATTGACCCCGTATTTATAATTTTCTAAATGGCATATCTTTGGACTACTCAAAGTATTTTGATACTCATCCCCACTGTGAGTTTAGCCAGCTGTCAGTTCGCGCTGCTGTTTTTTTTGCCACTTTCTGTCAGTATTGAGTTGTCACGGAGTTTTTATTACAGGGTTAAGTTGTCAATATGCCCAAAGGAGGTAAGACTGATCTTCAAACACGCTACACGGTGTTAATACCAGTTTTGTTAATGTGTTCACCTGCTGTTAGCCACCAAACACCAGGAGGCAGCGATCCAGGCGACATGCTTCTTTAACTTACATACCTGTGCTTTTGGGTGGTGTTGTAAACAATAAACAAACACTGAGGGTGTTTAGAGGCTGGTCTCCTTCAGTTGACACATGTCTGGTGGCTGTGGTTTGTCACAGGTGTACTGTGTAAGCAAATCTATGTGTGATGTCATGTTTCATCAGGTAGGAAGGGTGGCACCCTGCCTGTCATTAGATGCAGATATTACAGAAAGACATAACATATATTCATATTCAGAAACAGTTTTACACCTTTTTTGGTGTTGTTCTCACGCCAAGAAATCTGGCAAGAGCTTTGCAGATCATCATATCTTTAAATACTTCACATTATTATGGGAAAATGTGGTGTTTGGTTTCTTCTTACCTCATGACAAGAAAACATATATTGTTTTATGATAAATTTGATAGCAATGATGGAAATGTATGTAAACTCATAAATGTAAATGTAGCAATAAAAAGTTTATTTTGTTGTCTTCCTGAAGGATGTTGAGCAAAATATGAAACTACTTTCTATTTCAACTAACAAAAAAGCTATCAACACACTTAATATCTGTATTTTTTTTTTCCATTGTTCTGTTTGTACACTATCCCCACTATACTGAATCTGTATTTTGTCCTTTTGTTTGAATTTTTTAAAAGGTAGGAAAAGTGGCCACAAGGGTCGCATGCGGACGTACACCAGCCCTGAGGAGATAGATGCCCAGATGAAGGCAGAGAAGGAGAGGAAAAAGGTTGGTGCCGTCTACACCCAACGACTGCTGAGTTGTGTCACACACCGAGCAAATGACATCACATTTCTTGTGCCGCTTTCAGACGCCTTTTGTGAGTAGTTAAACCTTTGAACCTGATTCAAATGTGATTTCTTCCAGACACATGGTAAAAAAGGCAACGAGCAACTTGGTAAGAAATGTCCCAGAAATTGAAAAATGAAACTAGGGAATGAAGAAAATATAGAGGAAAACTATATATGTATTATTATTATTATTACATTTTGAAATTATGTTACAGAATTATTGTAATTCTTAAGCACTCTTTACAGGTCATTTCCTCGTTTGTTTGTTTTAAACTTTCTTCCTCTCTTTTTTTATTATTATTTTTGTTTTGTTTTTTACTCATTTTCTTGCTTTTAATTTGCTCTTTTTACTATTTTCTTGCTATTTTTTGGGGGTTGCTTCTTCTTCCGTTGCTTCTTGCCCTCTTCTCATGTTTTTAAAAGAAATCAAGCCAATTTGCTCAGGTTTCAAAGGGTTAAAGGGAGGGTTCAGGTTGTTTTGAAGTGGGGTTTTATGTGGTACTTTTCCATATTGTGATCTGTTTTTGTCTTCTGGTATTTATGTGTATATTACTGTCCACACACTGTTTGATTACTTGCTGCTGTAACACAAGAATTTCCCAGTTTGGGATCAATAAAGTTCCATCTTTCTGTCTGTCTATAAACAGTATATTACATACAGTAGATGTCAGTCAGCACAGACCAGAAGTTTAGCAATCTACTGCTGTGGATGGGGGCCAGCAACAAAACCTATTTTAGCCACCTAAAAAAGTCCCATCTGAAATATTAATACTAGTATAAGTGTATGCTTTATTTAGAATGTTTTTGCTGCTTTACCTTAATGTCAGACAGTGATTTCCATCATGAAAATGAAGCTGTCATACCACTATCTTCAAAGCCAGACTCCACTGAGAAAAATAGTTCATCATCACTGAACACGGGAGCTGCTCGTCTACCGCTGCCTCAAAGGTGTGACTTTGGAGTTTTAAGGGGTTAGTTCTGATTCACCAGTCACACAATCACACATACTAACTAAATGATCAAGGCAATGATGGACCAGCAGCTCCCGTGGTCTCTGAGCTAAAATTAGTTTCTGTCAATGGAGACTGGTGGCTTTGACAAGAGCGTAGATGGGGAAGTTGCTTCCCCATCGGAATGGGCCGTATCATGGAAAAGAAAAGCGATAAAAATACTCTCAACATATCATACACTTAAACTGATGTTGATTATTTTAGGTGCTCTCCCTCAGTGACCTGGAGATAGTCACCCACACTCATCTCCTCCTGTTTAGACAACTGTAACTCTCTGTACACTGTTATCAGTCAGTCCTCTCTGTCCCGCCTCCAACTGGTTCACAGTGCCGCTGCCAGATTCAAGCTCGGGGGTGATCGTTCCTTTGCTGTGTCTGTTCCCAAACTGTGGAACAGCATCCGCCTCCCAATCAGATCTGCCCCACCACTGACTCATTTAAGTCCAGGCTCAAAACCCTGCTTTTATTCATTAGCGTTTGAGTCCCCCTGATGTGGTTTTGTCTGATGTGTGCCTGTGTGTTGTGTCTCTAAAGGTGTGAGCTGTGAACCTGACAGTTATGTTGCCTCTTATGTGTATGTGTTTTTAGCATTTAATCCTTTGATATAGCACTTTGGTCAATGTGAGTTGTTTTTAAATGTGCTTTATAAATAAATTTGAGTTGAGTTGAGTTAAGCTGTCCACAGCAGTACTGCTTAGCTTCCGTGTTGGGCTCCTGCCTGCTTAGACTGACATATTCTTTGTGTAACACACTGACTATGGATAAGTGCCTCAATACAACCCCACTTCAAAAAATCTGAACTGTCCCTTTAAGTATTGTTCAAGCTCTAAAAATGCTGGATCCTACACTTTCCAAAATGCAGTTTAACAGCATTCTGGCCACTGGAAACAGTAAACTATGTAACTGAGTAAACTGATCGTGGTACTTAACATTGCTGGAGTGTTTTTCTAAAAGACTCTCATTAGCACTCCACCAGCCAGAATGTAGAGGATGTCATAGGTGAAAGCAGCTGCTGTTTGACTGGATGCACTGGTTCGATAACATTCTCCTGTGTGCTTTATCCTCCTCATTTATGTGTTATAGCAAGAGCAGGAAGCAGAAGAGGCGGGGGGTGCAGCTCAGATTGACGCGGCAGAGGAGAAGCTTCCGGCATCAGGATCAGAAGACAGCGACGATGAAAACTCAGATGTACAGCCACACTGTTTCTGTCATTCCTTTGCTCTGTTATCAAACATGCATTAATACAGTATAATCATTTGTTATCAGTGTGCACCTGTGAAGCACATTGTAACATCTGCGTGGCTGTGCCTTAGGCTCATGGTCATGTAGTCATTTCATACATTTAAGCCATCACTTCATTCTGTCTGAGCTGTTGTGATGTGTTTGCAGAGGAGGAGAGCGGGCGTGGAGGGCTTGATAGAAATCGAGAATCCTAACAGGGTGGCTCAGAAGTCCAAGAAGGTGACGCAGATTGAGCTGGATGAGCCCAAGCAGTTATCAAGGAGAGAGAGGTGTGTGTGTGTGGTGTCGCATCACATTGGTGCTAAACGGGAACTTAATTTATTACACAAAGTATTAATGTAAACATCTTAAAGGTCCAGTGTGAAGAATTTAGGGCATAAATGGAATATAATAAGTTTTTTTTTTCATGTACAATCACCTGAAAATAAGAATTCCCATGTTGTGGTTACCTTCGAATGAGCAGTTCATATCTACATAGGGAGCAGGTCCTCGTCTACGGAGATTGCCGTGTTGCACTGCCATGTTTCTACAGTAGCTCAGAATGGACAAACCAAACACTGACTGTAGATAGGGCCAGAGGTGTTTTTTTTTTTTTAATGTTTTTTGTGTCAGCCACTGTAGTTAGCAGCCCCTCCGCCATGAGTTTTTTTTTTATTATTAACAAGGTATTTTTATTGGTAGTTCAATAAAGATGCACAGAGTATAAACAAACAAACACAGAACCAGCAAGGACAAAAACACGACCCCACCCACCTATCTACCCAGGAACAAACAGAGAAAGCCAGACAAGTCTAAGGAAATCTAATAGACAAGAAAGAGAGAAATATAGAATAAATGAATAAGAATAAAAAAAAAATATCTCTGTATATAAAAAACTTGTGTGACACAAGTAGGGGAGTAAAGCATTTTTCATCACAGTTTTTCAGCTTCCATATTTGCCACAAACGTTAAAAATGGCTGCCAAGTGTCAAAGCAGCGTGCAGTTGATCCTTTAATACAACAGCAGATTTTTTTCAATTGTAAATGATACATAACATCCTTGATCCAATGTCCGTATGTTGGAGGTGAAGAGTTCTTCCATTTACACAGGATGAGCCTTCTGGCCAGAAGTGAGCAGCAAGAGGCGATGTCTGCTTGGGCTCTACTTAAGTTAACATCTAGAGGAGTTACTCCGAATATTGCCATGGACATAGATGGAAAAACAGTTTTTTAACGTGAAACTGCTTTATTCAGTGTTTCTACTGCTTTAAATCACCTGGTCTGTTTGTTTTGGAGAGGAAGAGACCTCTGCAGATAATTAGGCTCCCAGTAAAAACCTCCTCAACAATGAGCACTGAAGGAATTCTAACCAGGAGAAGTTTCAGCTGGTTGCAATCTGCAGCCCTTACCTTACACACTGGACCTGTAACATAGAAGTTGCATGCCTTGATATTTGGAGTAGTATAGAGCAGTATAACACACTGATACCCAGCTCTACTATCTTATATATTATGTGCTAGAAATGTCAACATGTTTTGTGTTTAAAAAGCATATCAGTAGCGTATTCTGAAAATGGTGTGGTGGTGATACACGCAAGAATGACGGCACAGTGGAAAAGCTTTTTATGTAGCAATTAGGACATTAACAACAAAAGGCTGATGGGTTGTTTTATGTCTATTCATTCCCCATGTTTAACAGTGTCTTTGCTTATGTCACTCTCCCCACCTTGACACACACACACACACACACACACACACACACACACACTCCGGCACAGAGAGGAGATTGAGAAGCAGAAAGCGAAGGAGCGCTACATGAAGATGCACTTGGCAGGGAAGACGGACCAGGCCAAAGCCGACCTCGCTCGCCTCGCCATTATCAAGAAACAGAGAGAAGAGGCGGCAAGAAAGAAAGAAGAAGAGAAAAAAGGTGAGCAAAACATTTATCGAGATAATTACCAATATTATAGTCTTGACTGTAATACAGAGTCTAAATATAAAGTGTCTTAATCCAGGAAAACACAACACAGTTTATTACCTGATGAGGCCATGGAAGCTCGTTTCTACTGAAGAAACTGCACTATTGTTCACAAAGTAGAGCAGGTCAGGTCAGCATGGACTGTTCACACGTTATCTTGTGGTGTGTGAGAGTTCAATATTCTCTTGTCTCCAAAATGAGGCTGAGAGCAGCACAAGGAGTCAGCTCTACCCGCTGAGCTTCTAAACACCCCTGTTTATATCATTTTGACTCCTTCTGCTGCTCTGCTGTACAAAGGCACTGTCCTTGACGCATTGGTTGCGGGTTCGATTCCAGCTCATGGCAACTTTGCTGCGTGTCTTCCCCTCTCTCTCCCTTTCACACTTGACACCGTCCTGTCATTAAAGGCAAAAAGGCCCAAAAATAATGTTGAAAAAATGATGTAAACATACTTCATGTATGATTTATCATTTTAGATGACTAGAATCTGCACTACACAAATGATCTCATTCTGCTACAAAAGATAGTCCTTTAAATATGTGATGATTCAGCCTGTTAGGATTCTAAATGTGTTTCTGGCCTTTACCTTATTAGTAGAGCATTTTGAGCCTGTCATTTAAGTGAGCAAAATCTGTGAGAAGCCTGCGTCTGTCTACCTTTGTCTGAAATTCAAAGCTCCACTGATTCAAAAATGACTAAAGATTTTGAGTGGTAAATTTATCTCCGTCATCATAGGGATGGCATATGTTTGTAAGCCATCACAAAAGTTGCCTGGTTCCCTTATCGAAAATGTTTGCAAACAAATATTTATGATACAAACACATTTAGTTCAGCAAGATTATCTTCACAAACGAGCACCACTTTTATGATTTTTGAGGCGTAAATGCAATCACCAGAGGTAAAAAGCTAACGATAGGCTCTAAATGAGCCACACCATGGACGCATGACTTACCGTTGCCCTCTCAGCACGGCTGTAAAGCTGTGGTCGCCTTGACGATGCTCTGTAGTCTCATTAGCCACTTGTTAGCAGCCCCCTTTTTTAAGTCACATAAAAGGTTCAGAATTCTCAAGTACATACTGACGTATTATATGGCAGAGAACAAAATGCGAAAACCTCCTAAGCCTGTGTTTATCACAGACCTTTTTTCAAGCATCTGGCCAAAAACCCATTAAAAAAACCCCACTAACTTTGAGACAAGGGAACCAGGAGGGTTACAGTGCAAACTCATTTCCAGGTTTTAGGACTCATTCCTGCACCGCTCTATAGGAAAGGAAACTATCGCCTAGTTTTAGCGGGTTTTCCTGCATTTAAAAAACCTGCATATATGCACTAATTTTACTAAAAAAAAAAGATGTATGAAAATGTGAACAATAAAGCATAAATCTAACCTCCGTCTTGTTTAAGTAAGCAGAGCAGCAAAACAAGGTTACAGTATGTTGGAATGAAATAATGGTCTGATCTCTCTTTCTTATCATACTTAAAACACTGAGAGTAACTCTAGACCACGGTACAAGAAAAGTGCTGTGTCTTTATTTCCTTGTCTTCTGTATGGGCCATTAATTGAAGAGGATGCTGGCTTTTATGTCCGGGACATGCAGCCTCAGCCTCAGTCTTAGTACGATACACTCAAATAGCAGCCACAGTCTGCATACTGCCACTGTTTAAGTGACATGTCCATGAAGTGTTAAGCTGATTGTGTCTCTTTTATTTTCTGCTTACAGCAAAAGACGCAGCGGCAGCAGCAGCAGCGGCGGCGCGAGGAGTAAACTCCCTCTCACTGAAATGATGCAGAGTATTTATCAGAGGCATTTTTACATGTTCACGGACTGGCGCAATATATATTTGACTATTTTTAAAGGAAGAGCTATGGTGTCGACATTACTGTAAACATATGACCATTTGGAAAATGGTTGCGACGACACCAGTGGAGAGGGGGTGTGTATATTTTGGCATGGAATAATGGCCTCGCTGATCCCGCCAGGAAGTAAAGCTACAATTGAGAAAACATCGGTCTTCACGTACACTTGGAATGAACCCCTGCTAACCTATGATCTCATACAAGATATTAATACTGGTATACTTGTCATTGTACAACTATGACTTTGCTAACTGAGCTTTGCCATTATGTTTTCTTGGGGGATCCTAACTTGTATATAACTGACTCATGGAAATATTTCAGATTAATATGATGAAACCAGTAAAATGTGTACATTTCTTTCTTTGCTTTATTTTTTTACCTGTGAGAAAACTGCCACAACCGGTTTAGAGCAGCTGTCACCAGACTCAGGTGCAAGAGTCCACAATGTGAACATCAGATGAGTCAATAGAACAGACGTTTACTTTGGAATAGTAGTAGTGCAGAGGAGGCGTTGCAGCAGCGCCTAGGGATATAAGATGTATACAGAATCTAACTGAACACTTTAGTCAGTTAAGTTAATAAGATAAGAATGAGTGATGACCCCTTGATGGTTTATCTGGCCCTGTTACCAGCAGCAAGTACAGTAAAGAAAAAAACTGGACCACTGGAGTTTAAGATGTTAGCATGAAGATCTTGGATGCATCTCACGGCCGCAGGTACAGGGGCCCAACTAGCCTTCACCTGAAAAATGTCACTCAAATTAACACAAATTTACCAGGAAGAGACTTAAGAAGACCACAAAATGCAAAGGAAATACAAAAAAGACACAAGGTAACTATAAAAATAGGGGCTAAACAACCACATAGAGAAACACAAAACCACAACAAGATGCGTAATGACAACAAAAGAGGCAACACCACCACAAAGTGTGTGTGTCATGACGTGGTGGGGCCTTTTATAATCATATAATATCTGCCCATAATAAAGATAGGGTTGCAAAATATTGGGTTTTTTGCCGACATCTGACATGCCGGTATGTAACAACTCCTTTGGCTGATAACTGATACTGATATTGATATATCCACTTTTTTCCCCAGCAAATTTTAGTGATCAAGTGTCTTCTGTAGTGGAATTAACATCATGCATGCATGGATACTCTTACTGTGACGGCCCACCAGCAGATGGAGACATGATATAGAATTATTTTCCATGTATTTAATATTATTCATTGTACAAATTGAGAAAAAGCATGTTTGCCGATTCTGATGGTTCATTTTAAAGCTGATATCGGTGGATACTGATGATGCACCGATATTATTGTGCATCCCTACCGTAGAATAACATTCAGTATGGTGCTTTCCATCTTTTTCCTGTGCAGGAGTGCCTTCTTTTGGCCAAGCCTAGTGCAGGGGTAGACAACCTGTGGCTCTGGAGCCACATGCAGCTCTTCTTCAGTGGCTCCCCGTGGCTTTGACAAAGAAACCATTTGGAAATAAATAAAGATTTATTTATTTTTTTTACATTTTAATTTACATTTATCATTGTTGTTGACCTAAAGAAATTATGCACCTATGCACTTAAAATAAAAAAAAGACATTTCATCAACCAAAGTGTGCTTCAAGCATCTGCAACCTGGCATCTTTTCCTCCAAATTTTGCCAAACCTCAAGAGCGCTGGCAGGTCTTAAATATCCCTAGCTAAGCTGGCTATGTTTCCAAATCCAAAAAAAGTTAAAGACTCAGAGGAGATGAGAGAATTAAGTAGTGTGTGGACAGCTTCATTTGCGCTCACCTTCAACTCTGCAGAGTTAAAGTTCCAAATAATCCTAAACAGCCCACTGCAGAGTCGTCACCTTGTAATGAAACATAATAATAATTATAATAATATATTGGCTTTATGTAGCCCTTTTCAGGATACACAAAGATGCAAAAACATTTTAATGAATGCTTTTTAGACCTATTAGTGATGTTGAGTGGCTAATTTTGACTTAATAGTCTGTGTTTTATTCATTATAGGGTTCAAATATGTTCTGTGGCTCCAGAGAGATTTTTTAATGATTATTTTTGGTCAAAAATGGCTCTTTTGATAGTGAAGGTTGCTGACCTGTGGTCTTGTGCTTTATTGTTAGAGAAGTGTTAAAAAAAAGTAATCAAATGTAATAAAAAAAAAATAATAATAATAATAAAATAATAATAAAAAATATTAAAAAACGACTAATCTGACCAATTACATCTTAAAAGTAGCCTTCCTAACACTGGTGTTTATTTAATGTAATAATTTCAATGTTCTGCCACTAATGTGAGCTGTAATGTCCACACTTGACCTGAAGGTGGCGGAGATGTTCCGAACATGCTGGATTAAAATCAAAGGACGAAGAAGAAGAAGCTGTGCGCTGATTGGCCGAAAGTTTCGCGGACTTTATCCTCTGGGGTTCTGTTGTTTGAGCTGCGGTCAGATCTCATTCCAGTCATATCAGTGATCGCGGCGTGAGCCTCACTTCAACCGGTGAGTAAACTAGCTAAGTTAATGTTTTATAGACACGATGGAAAGTAGGAAAACACAATGGAGACTTGTTCGTTTGTTTTAGCAGGTAGAAATACGTCTTAAAGAAGAATTAACGTCAGGTTTTGTATTTAAACGTCGTATTTGGCACCATATGCAGATATGTTTGCTTTGTTTCCCGCGGGCTGTACGTCACTGCTGATAAGAGATAACAAACTTAATGCTAGTTTCCTTTCAGAAATAACAAGCTAAAAGTAAGTTAGTTGTTTATTCAAACTGTTTGCTTGTGGGTATTTTTAGCACTGGAGGTAAAGTTCACACAGCTCACCTTACTCAATAAATGTTTAGAAAACGTTGTGTGTCAGTGGACCAGAGCAGATAATAAAGATAGGGTGAGTTAAGGTGATTGGGACAGTTTTTGAATGTCCTCCTTCTGTAAGCTTAATGGCGTAAATTAAAAAAAAAATAGCTGAAGATTTCTGGTAATTTTCTGGCCAATTAATTTCTATAATAATGAAGATGTTACCTGTCCATTTGAGGAGGAAAGGAGGTTATATTACACACCCAGGAAATGTGACATAACCTTTTGTTTGAACTGACCCCAAACCTTTTTTGGTAACATTTGAGTGATTGGGACAAGACCTTTGAGACAGCATATCTAATCAGTGATTCAGGCTAGTGTGTGCATCTCTATTGCACAATTAATTTTGATATTTGGATATATTTCCACATGCACATTTTATGTTTGCTTTATTGCTGAAATTCTCTCTCATCAAATTTCATTGAACTCATTTAATTGAGGTAAAAAACAACAACAACAACAACAACAACAACAACTTAAAATCCAAAATCCAATGAATGCATTTCATTCAGGTAAAAAAATGCAATTTGATTACATGGTTTCAAAGGTATGGCTTACTTTTATGTGTTTATTTATTTATTTTCTTTACTCCTAAGGTGAGAAAATAAAACCTGTTTTGTTATACTGTCCCACTTGACCTTATGTCCCAATCACCTTTAATTCACCCTAACAAAAATCATGCGCTCTCACCGTCTGATGAGCAGCATTTGACTCATGCATAACTGACCAGCAGTGACTTTTACCTCTGCAGACAGGACTGGGAGGCTCAAATAAAGTTTTGGCAAGTGTGAACACAACTGTAAACTTCAAGGAATAATAGACGTGTTATCTGAGTTACCTGATGCAACCTTTGTTTAGACTGTCTCTGCAGGTCAGTTTCTTATCAGTCTGTGAAGAGGTTCAAAGTTTAACGGGTGAGGCCATGTCAGCTGATGGTTGCAACACTGCTGCATGTGTCCTCCTTTGTTTGAGGCTTAGGACTGTTACAATGGAGCTGTGACAGTCTGTTAGTCAACAGCACTCACTGTATTTTACATTCATGTAAAAAATATTTTCTTATGCAAGAGGTGAAATATAGTGGTTTCATGCACTGGTCAATTTTGAGATTTTGTGCTTTGTCCAAAATACACATTTAGGCGTTTATTTTATTTCAGATTGCTGTTCTGACTGCAGAGGACATACCTACACAGCAATGTAACTGGGCTAGCAAGCCATATAAAGGTCCAGGGGCTGAGATCAATGCAAAATAGTCTGTATTTACGATATCCATGCACAAAAAAAAGGTGCTTAAAGTGCATAAAATTGAGTAAAATCATCATCAGTGCTGACCCAAGTAGGCACAGTAGCCCTAAGAGATTGCTGTTCTGGAAATTCATGCAAAGAGCATATAGCTAATTAGATACCCGTTCGTTTGCATATTTAAATATTCATTTTCAGAGAGCTCGTAATACAAAAAAGTATTGTCTCAGTGTAAGTAATCAACTGGGGGAGCTTCATGGTGATATCTATTAAATACAATTTCTACCCCAGTGTCTTAATTTCTGTCTAAAAATGTTTGAAATTTTACAAAACATATTCTTAAAGGCAAATTTGCTCAAAATTACTATTTTTTTACTCGCACTCCGATCTATAAATCTCCACTTAGGTAACACTTACATACACCAAACTTTCCATTTTTATTCCTGTCTATATTCTTAGGCTTTTTACAGAGGAGTTGGTTTATAAATCATTCATAGTCTGATTTATATAACTTTATATTCCTATAAAAACATGGTGAAAGTTGTTTTTTTTATGGCAGTATTTATTGCATTATGGAGTGATAAAAAGAAAGATCTAAAATTCCCTCTGTAGAAGCCTTTGACTCTAACATGTCAACAAAATGAAACAAGAATTTTGAGCCTGTGATCCAGTGTTCATATTTTTGTTCTGGAAAAGTGTGCACATCAGTGCATGTTTAATTAGACAATGCCTCATTTGCATATTCAAACATAAAAAAATGTTGTCTCTCTGTAAGTAATCAACTGGGCAAGTTTCACTGTGGTTTCTCTTGGTTAAAAAATTACCCTATTCACCAGGGGTGTCTTCCCTTAAAGCAACTTTGTGCCAAAAGATGTCTCACTTTGACATTGCTTTATGTCTTTATGCAGTTATGAGTGTCATTTAAAGTTAGTTTCTAAGGGCAACACAGTATGATGACGCAGAATATCGCGATAACACTATTACTTGCAAAGAATAAACTGATATAATAAAGTGTACTCAGTATCTGCCCTTCTTCTGAATAGAATCAAGGAGTAACTACTTAAGATTATACTTGATTATTATCATTTCCCTGTAAGAAAACTGTTGCAGCAGGTATAGAGCAGGCTTTACCAGCCTCAGGTGCAGGAGTCCACGATGTAAACATGAGACATGAGAGACATGAGAGTCAATAGAGCTGACGTTTATCTTAGAATAGTAGAAACAGACTGTTGCATTGCAATGAAGTCTTTACAGCTGCGCTTGGGGGAATGAAATGTATACAAAATCTAAGTGAACACTTAAATCAGTTAGGTTAATACGTAAAAGAGTGTTGACCCGCTCATGAGTTAATCTGGCCCCGCCTCCAGCAGCAGATGTGATGATGTAAAACAAAAGAATTTAGGACAAACTTGACTTTGGTATGTTCAGAAAATTAAATCACGTTACTGCAATACAGCATTTAAACTAGGAAAATACAACACTTTTGACAAGAATATCCAAAATCAAAGACGATAACTAGTCTCACATCACAATATTGATATAGGCTATTGCCCCGCCCTATCACTAAGACTTTTTTTTATCTTGTCTCTAATTAAGAAATTATCTTCCCCTATAGACTTCCACCACTCTGCACGACCAGAGAAACAGCGACCATGTCTTTGACAAACGGCCACACTGTGAGCAAAGAAACATGGGACTCCCACAACAAGATGATGCTGGAGCCTCTGTCCATCAGTGACTCTGAGGTTTGTGTTCAGTGGATTTAAAGAATAGAAGGTCTGACACTGGAGTGGTGACTCAGTAGTGACAGCACTCAAAAATCATTATCATTTAGTTCTTTAGAGCTTGTGTGACAGCTTGTTATTGTCCCCTCTATAACACAGTATTTGTGTTTCAGGTGTTCTCAATCATAAAGAAAGAGAAGCACAGGCAGACGTACGGTCTGGAGCTGATAGCGTCCGAGAACTTCGCCAGCAGAGCTGTGCTAGAGGCTTTGGGTTCCTGTATGAACAACAAATACTCTGAGGGGTATCCTGGTCAGAGGTACAAGAGTTGTTCAGCTTATTTTTAAATTCCAATGTTTGATTACATCATATAAGTGGTGCATTCTGCGTTATTCTAGCTATGTAATAAAAAATAAACATAGCAGTAATGATAAGTATGATCGTTGTGTCCAGGTACTATGGTGGCACGGAGCATGTCGACGAGCTGGAGCGACTCTGTCAGAAGAGGGCGCTGGAGGCCTACTGTTTGGACTCAGAGAAATGGGGTGTCAATGTGCAGCCATACTCAGGTATCAGATAGAGATTAAACATATGAAACCCCTTTGCTGTTTGGTGTAGAGCCTGACTGATGTGATCAGTGTTTAAACTTTGTCATACTTTTGTTTGTGCTCCCCGTAAGGTTCACCTGCTAACTTTGCTGTCTACACGGCTGTGGTGGAGCCCCACGGCAGGATCATGGGGCTGGACCTTCCTGATGGAGGTCACCTTACACACGGCTTCATGACTGAGAAGAAAAAAATCTCCGCAACGTCCATCTTCTTCGAGTCCATGCCGTATAAGGTACGAAACAGTCACCCAGGAAATCGAATCAAAGTTAAAAATAGTAACTCTACACAAGTAGTTCCCAACTGGTGGGTGGCAGGACCATTCTGAATGGATCGCAAGTGAAAAAAACACACTTTATTTTGAAGTACAGTGAATTTCTGACACAGTAGAGTGAGTTATTTACGTACTGTCACTTAACAGAGACAGCAAACTAGCTCAACAACATGGCCAAACCTAAGTATGATGTTGAGTATATTAAACTGTTTGGTCCTTAAACTAAGGAGAAATCTGGACCTGTGGCTGGACCAGCTGGGAACCACTATGTAATTGTTGGATAAATAAGAATTGAGGTGCAAGGCTCTTAATGTGGAGGTGGCAGTTGTAATGGCGTTTATTGACAATATCATGAATTACTTCTCATGATTGTGTTAAGAGTATTAAGAGTATAATTTAAACAAGCAGTTTCTTCTTTCTTGCTGAAAAAACTGTCTTTCTGAAACACACTTAAAGTTTGGAGTAGCTGGTACTTCTCGATTATGGAATCCTGCACCAGGTTGAATAAGATTAGTCCTGATTAGTGTAGGTATGTGCACATGGCTCTGGCCTGCAGCTCCTCGTGAGAGCTGGAAGAATTAAACAAGAGGCTCATAATTTGATGGAATGAAAACAGAAGAAAAATATGACATTTTAACCTTGTAGTTATCCAATCCTTGCTTCTATAGGCACCTTTACATTATCCTTTCACCAAGATAATGCACTCAGTATCAATACTGCTTTCCAGGGAGTCTTGGGTACAAACAAACAAACAAACAAACAACAAGACAATTAAGAATGAAGAGTTAGTTGATTCCTATAGGCATTTACCAACAATAGTGTAATGATGTTATAGTACAGAGAATTGAAAAGATGTAGAGTGTAGACTTGTTTGAGGACATTGAGACTTAACTATCATTGACAGTGTTTAGTTTCTTACACTTATCAGGTCTTATTGACCCCAGATAGTGAGGAGAAATTAAAAATGCATACCACACAAAAGTGCTGGTCTCAGGAGGATACTTTTAATTATTTCTTTGTTGTGTTTATGTTCTGTACATCAGGTTTAGCTTGTTTTAATGTGTTTGATATAATATGGTGTCCTGTTTTTAGGTGAATCCAGAAACTGGCTACATCGACTACGACAGACTGCAAGAAAACGCTCGGCTGTTCCACCCCAAACTCATCATCGCAGGTACTTCTGCTGTTACTTGTTTACTATCACCCAACGAACAACCAATCAGATGAGGAGGAGTGTGCATCCAAAGGTCATGAAAACATTCACATTCACCTCTGTGTCTTTTTTCTTCTCCAGGAACAAGCTGCTACTCCCGCAACCTTGACTACGGCCGCCTGAAGCAGATCGCTAATGAGAATGGTGCATATCTGATGGGAGACATGGCTCACATCAGTGGACTGGTGGCTGCTGGAGTCGTGCCCTCGCCATTTGAGCACTGTGACATTGTTTCCACGACGACACACAAGACGCTGCGTGGCTGCCGCGCTGGACTCATCTTCTACAGGAAAGGTAGAAATGAAATATGTTTCTGCAAAGACAAACCACGTGTAGTTTTAGTTTGGTTATCAGTGTTTCTTTTCTTTCTGTTCATCTTTTCCATTTTTCTTTTTCTCTGCCTTTCTATTTCCTTCCTCCAGGTGTGCGAAGTGTGGACGCCAAGGGGAAGGAGACTCTGTATAACTTGGAGTCTTTGATCAACCAGGCTGTGTTTCCTGGACTGCAGGGAGGACCACACAATCACGCCATCGCAGGTACACCTCATCAGTTTTCTCTCTTTAACATCTCGACTGTCATTCGAGTACGTCAGCATCGATCTCATCAAAGTTCATGTTTCACTGGCAGGTGTTGCTGTCGCACTCAAACAAGCCATGACACCAGAGTTCAAGGCCTACCAGCTGCAGGTCCTCGCTAACTGCAAAGCTATGTCCAGCGCTCTTATTGACCACGGCTACAAGATTGTTACTGGTGAGTGCCACAGGTCCACTCTACCAACACAAATGGACCTGAAACATATCTTCAGTATCAGTTGTCATTTGTACAGAAGCAAATTGCATTAACCACAAAGAGAAGTATGACAATAACTGTTAAAACTTGCCTGTATACCATGCTGCATGTCTGTTTTCCATTAGTATAGTTGAAAAGACGGCTGATAGCAGCTAATAACTTTATCATCTCTGTAGTTTAACACATGTTCTCTTCTGCTGTGTAGGCGGATCTGACAACCACCTGATCCTGCTGGATCTGCGCAGCAAAGGAACTGATGGAGGGCGAGCTGAGAAGGTTCTGGAAGCCTGTGCCATTGCTTGTAATAAGAACACCTGTCCAGGTAGAGTGTGTGTTTTAGAACTGGCATGATAAACATGCAGTTGTGTTTGCCCTTAGCGTGAGTAATCTTGTGGCAAAGTAGTTTATCCTTTGTCTCTGTGAAGTCTTAATATTTCCACACACATGTGTTTGTGTAGGGGATAAGAGTGCTCTGCGCCCGAGTGGTCTGAGGTTTGGCTCTCCAGCTCTGACCTCCAGAGGCCTGGTGGAGGAAGACTTCAAGAAGGTGGCTGGGTTCATTAACAGAGGTAAGCTTCTAAAAGCCCCATGGGGTCATTCCAGGTCAAATGAGAGGTTTTTATTAAAGTTTTAGATTTTGTTTAAACTTAATAAATAAATAAATAACTAAATAAATTCTGTAAAATGTCACTGATTTTGAGAATTGCATAGTTTCTTGCCCCTGGGAGTTTTGTCATTTCAGCTACCAAAAAAACCCAAGTTAGACAGGAAGGCATTTTAGCGACCATTATCTTCAGAAATATAACTTTTAGAGCCATGAAATTTGATAGTGACTCAGACAAAACAGCGTACAGGAGATCCAAATTATATGTTTTCTTTAGTGTTTAATCATCTGAAAATAAGAATTGAAGCGTTTCCCTTACCTTAGAATGAGTGGTTTATATCTGCTTACGAAGCGGGACCTCATCCACGGAGATCATCATGTTGCACGGAGATCATCATGTTGCACCACCTTATTTCTACAGCATCCTCGAAGGTACAAACCAAACAGTGGCTCTAGACAGGGCTATTTGCCTAAACAAGTCAGCCACCATAGTTACCAGCCCCTCCGCGAGTAGAGTGTCAGAAAAACACTGATTTTTTTTTTTAACATGAAGCTGCTTTATTCTGTGTTTGTTCCAGTTTGTATCACCATTTTATCATCTCCATTTGTTTTGTAGAGTAGGAGACCTCTGCAGATAATTTGACTTCTACTAAAAACATCTGAAACAATGAACACTAAAATTATTTGAATCAGGAGATGTTTCAGCTGGTTGCAGTCTGCAGTCCTCACTGCTAGACCCTACTAAGTCCCCCTAAATATTTTACACTGTTCCTTTTTAAAAGGGAAAAAAGTGCAGAATGGGTGGTTTTGGGACCCCAGACAGTCCCTCAAAGTGAGCCTGGTCTCACTGCGAAATCATTGAAATCCGGCACTTGGGTAGTCACTTGCGGCGTCAGAAACCAACAAAAAAAGCCATCCTTTAACGTTGGCATGATACGCAGCTGGTTGCCGTTATAGTTTAATGGTGCCAGGTGATGTCAGTACCTGGTGATGTGTACCTTGCACGTCGTATGTGGACGTGGAAAGTCCATGACCAAACGATATGTGACAAGGTCGGAGTGAGAATGTGTTGTCAAAGGGTATAAACATGGACATGTCCATTTTCCTGCTAAATGTACAAGGTGTGATTTGATGTTGTGCCAAATTTCAAAAGCTTAAACATCAGCAGAATCGGAGAGAGATGGCAAGCCAAGGTTGCAATTTGTTGCTATATTGAGATGTCAAAATACCGATGTGGACTCGTTCTTCGGACCATGAAAATTTGTGTCAAAGGGGTCTATGTGTGGGCATTTTGTGTGCAAAGTTACAAGTTTCTTCCATGTTCTCTTCAAGTTTAAATCAAACAAATCTTTGGCTTAAAAAAATAGATTTCACTCAAAGAAATTCTGTCATACATTCAGCGTTTTAATAATTTCACAGTTACATTTTGGTGTTTTGTTCTCAATTGCAAAGATGAAATGGTGAATTTGCTGATTAGCTTTTTCTCTGTAGCTCAGGTAACTGAGCCTTATAGCTGCTGTAGTATTTAAAACTATTCACCAAAAAAAAACCATGATGTCACTTAATTGAACTTGCTTTCCTTCCTCCTGCAGGTATCGAGCTGACCTTGGAGATACAGAGAAGCCTGGATCCCAAGGCCACTCTGAAGGAGTTTGTTCAGGCACTGTCTCAGGGAGAGAAGTTCCAGAAGCGGGTATCAGAAATCAGGTTGGAGGTGGAGGCCTTTGCCGGTCAGTTCCCCATGCCTGGCCTACCTGAGCTGTAGAGGGCAGCGGGTCAGACACTGAAGGATGCTGGACTGATGATTGTGACAAACACTATTGAGCCAAATATAATGGGGTGTTGTTTCATGTGTGTATTTGTTGTAAGTGTACACCTGTTAAATCTGTGCTCAAATCAAGACGCTTCCTCACGACCTCACAACAGCTCAGTCTCAGCGTGGACAGAAGGATTTGCAGACGTCATTGTTCTCCAGTTATCTAATGTTGACACTGTACTTTTAAGCTTTAATCTTGTCACAAATCACTGGTTCTTTTGTATTAAATTTATGATTTTCTCACACGCAGTACTCCAAAACACGAAGGATGACTATTGGTTTCTTACATGGGCATTCTCTTATCGTATACTGTATACATAAATACAATGTGATAAATTATTGTTTGGTTCAATTAAAGAATCCATAATGAATGAAACAACTGCTTCTGTCTATGTTCTTTCAGTTACTGCAAAATGGTGCAGACTCCTTTTAAACCAAAACCTCTTCTATGAAAAAACTATAGAAATATTTTGAGCTAGCATGTAGAGGGTGACATAAATAAAAATAAGACATCAAAATTCAGAAACATTTGAATAATATGGAAAAAAAGGGAGGTAAAGGTTGTTTGGAGAACTTACTACACTTCTTTAGTAACTTTATCTGCAGCATTTAGATTGTCTTGTAGGGAATCAAAGCGTATATAACTTAATTAAATTAAAGACATCAAAAGTCACAAAACATTTGAAGAATATGGAAAAAATCTAAATAATATGGAGGACATGGGAATTTATTGATTTTTGGTTGATTTCATTTTTAGGGGCAAAGATTGGGAGCTTATTGCACTTTTTACTTCTTTTTTTTAACTTTCTGCAGCATGAAAAAAGTAGCATTTACACCATCATGTTGGAAATTAAAATTTATATAATGGTTAATTATTTTAAAAAAAAATAAAGGTTTTTTTTTATCTTTGGTCCATTTGGTTTGGGGAACTAATTACTTTTTTTTTTTTTTTTTTTTAAAAA